CGCCAATACCAGAGCTCCAAGGAAGAAAAGGAGCCAGGTCTCATGCACCAAATTCATTCCAGAGACTGAGGTAGAAAAGGTTCCATGATGCCATGAGTCAGGCTTGGAAAGGGAGAGGTCTGACAACATTACTTGATGTTGAGCGAGAAGTTTCCAAATCATAATTCTACTGAATGTAAACTAATTGTCAGGCCCTTCCATCATTCATCAAGGACCTTTCAAGCAATCATTCCAAGTACAACACATCGCTGGGTGTGGTAGAAAACACAGATCCTTTCTGGGAAAAGAGGAAGGGGCTTTGACTGTAAACACCATTAATTTCTTATGATTTGTGTGGAGATAGTTACTATGGATCTATCAGGTAGTGTTCTCAGATGCTAACAGTGCTTCCTCTTTGCCAGCTGCCCTGATCCAAGAATATCCAGAACTTTACTGCAACTCAATCCCAACCTCCTCTATAGGCCTCTCACCACACAAGCAGCCATTTTTTGCATGCTTGCCTCAGATCACTCCATAGCTGCCTGCTGGCTAAGATCTCATAGAACTCATAGGATATTCAGACCAGAAAGAACCTCTGAAGGCTTACCTATTCCAATGCCTTACTCTAAAGATGGAAACCTGGAAGCCCATTGCTATGATTTGAATACCCACTCCAAAACTCATGCTGAAATTGAATTACCATTGTGATGGTATGGGGAGCTAGGGTCTTTAAGAACTCATTAGATCATGAGGACTCTGTCCTCATGAGCCATGAATGTGGGAGTGGGTTAGTTATCATAGAAATGGGGATCCTGAAAAAGAGATGAGTTTTGTCTGTCTTATCTGTGCGTCACCATGTGATGCCTTCTGCCATGGGATAAACCTTGCCAGATACTAGCACTACTCCCTTGGCCTTCTCAGTCTCCAATACCAACAGCCAAGTAAGCTTCTGTTCTTTATAAATTACCTAGTCTGGGGACTAGCAGGTATTGTGGTGATTAGGGTGCTGGACTCCTATTTGGCCAATTACCATTCGAGTACTAGACCTGACAGCTTGCTTTCTCACTTCCTCTCTGTCTCTGGTCAAATTTTTTAAAAATAACAACAATAATAATAATAAATTAAATGAATAATTCTTAAAAAAATAAGTTACCCCGTCTGTGATATTCTGTTACAGCATCAGAAAACAGACTAAGACACCCCCACAAAAGTAAATAACCAGCTCAGTGTCACACAGCATCTGTGAAATTCTAAGTAACATTTTTTTTTATTTTGGGCCAGAGAGTATGTGTGCTTGCCAGAGAGTGAGAGAGAGAGATAGAGAGGGACGAGAAAGCACCCTCTACGGAAACTAGTCAAGCCACAAACTCTTGTCCATCTCTCCCTCACTTCACGATTTTAGGCATATATACATGTACTTGGTATGTTTTTCAAGATATGAAGTCCAGGACTCCAACTATGTGGTAAGCCATAAGGAATCCAGCGGCCATAACCACCAGACCATGGAACTGACCCCTAAATAACTTTATTCACACACAACTCTAAGATTCTGAATAAAATACATTGTACGCATTTGGAATCGTGAAGACCCAGGCTAGACTCTGACCTGAGAGACCTCTGGCAAATTACTAAATTTTCTTGAATCTCCTTATCTTCTGTAAAATAGACTTAATGGTGTCTACAGTATGGGTCATTTTAAGGCTCAACGGAGCTAGCTATGTGATCTTAGCAAAATGCCTGACACCTAGTAATGGACAATATATGATAATTATACTTACTGAGTGACATTTACACTTTCAAAATTATTATAATTATTTTTCAGTTGCCTCTACTTTATTAAACAAAATTCTGTAGAACATGGCTTTCTTCTATGCTTAGAATAGGGTCTTAGACACCATCTCTGTAAAGAGCCAGACAGTAAATACTTTAGGCTTTGCAGGCCAGGTGATCCCTGCTGCAACTATGCAACTCTGTCACTGTTGCACGGAAAAAGCCACAGACAATATATGAAATACAACGTGCCTGTGCACAAATGAAACTTCACTGACAACAAGAAGTAGTGGACCAAATTTGGCTCCAAGCTATAGTTTGCCAAGACCTGGTCTAGGACCATCATAACTAATGATCATGGTCATGACTCTAACATAAACCAAAGCAAAAAAAAAAACAAACAAACAAACAAAAAAAAAAACCTAAGGAAATTTAGCATAATTTAAAGTATATTAAGTATATTTTTTAGTATTTTAAAAATTGATCATCCATGTCTAATACAATTTTAATTAATCAGAAATTTCATTAAAATGGCAATAGCCAGGCTAGCCCATGGCTTGGTGGTTAAGGCAGCCAAATACCCACATGGCTAACCATGAAGTTTAAGTCCCAGACCTGCAGTTTGAATTACATAGTAGTTGTGTGTGCATGAGTCCCCAAAATTTCAAAAGGAAGAAATAGGGAAGACTGTGGCATCAACCATTTCTCAGGAGTAGTGCTTTTTCCTCATTCTACTTTCCCTCTGTCTTTCTGTCCCTCTCCAGTGAGTACATGTACCCTCTAGCAAATTTTTTTTAAAAAATTAACGACAATAGTAATAATTAGCACTAGATGAGGCATTCTACATTCAGAATTTCATTGAATAGCCACAATGGTTCTATGAAGTAGATATTATTACACAGTGGCTCAATTTTACAAATTGCAAGGGTTTTGAGAGATTAGGCAACTTGTCCAAAGTTAATGTTATCTTGTGAAAAAGTAAATATTTGAACCCAGGCCTGTTGGACTCCAAATCCCAGGCTATTTTCCCCTACTCTTACTGCCTCCCCTTCTAGGACCACATTGAGAAACAGATTACTATTCAGCGGCATCTCTATAAATAAAGAATGTGCATTCCAGTAGCACAGGCATTTGTCAGAAACTTCATCATGAGGGTATTGGACAGGCAGGAATGAGGATGCCAGGAACCAAAGATGAAGGGGAATATTATTCAATGCTAACTACAGAAATATCAGCTGTGGCTCAAAACACAAACATATGAATGCCTAGAAGTTCTATAATCAAGGAAGTAGGCAAAGACCAAGAATGAGAAGAAAGCACAGTGAAACCAGCAGATGGCGTAATGGTCACATCATTAGACTCACATGCAGTTGATCATGGTTTGAGTCCTGGTCTCACTGGGTGCATGTGTGCATGCCCAAAATCTAAACAGAAGAATGGAGGAGAAGGAATTGCAGCATGATCATACCCCCAGGGGGGTAATTTCTCACTTTCTGTCTCTGTCTCTCCAGTGAGTACATGCGCCCTACAGCAAAAATCTCTTAAAAAAAAAAAAAAAAAAGAAGAAGAAGAAGAAGGCGGCACAGTCACAGAAATCTACAACTGTATAAATGTCCAAACCAGTCTCAGTCTGTGCAACTAGAGAGGTAAAAAATTAGAGAGAGTAGTCTCTAACTATAAAATGTTTCCACAAGTAAGTTACTGAGTGCCTGCTCTATGCCAACAGCTCTACGATATTCTAGGCATTGAAAATTTGGTTAACAACTAAAAAAAGTCCCAATCTAGTGGTGTAAGTGGTAGGATATCAATATATGAGACTAGGGCCTCATGGAAGGCCCAACTTTAATTGCTGGACCAATTTAAACAGGTCAGGGATGATGGGGAATGTCTGAAATGCTAACTAACTTGGAGGCTTGGGCAGAGGATGGTGACATGGTATGACCATGCCAAAAATACTCTTTCCTCAACTCTATACTTCTCCCCAACCCCCTACTTCTCTTAAAGCAAAAGAAAGGAAAAACAAAGTTCCCACCTTCATAGTACATACATCTTATTGTGGGAGATAAAGGTAATAAAATAAATGAGAAAATATACAGAACAAGAGATGGTACTAAATAAGATAGAAAAGAGAGGGAAGAGGAAACCTATTGCCTGCAATTCCTTAAATAAGAAACAAAGAAGAAATTGTATTTCAAAACAAGATATAAAATAGGAATTTGCCTGGTAGCAGTTAAATGTTAAAAACTTTTTTTCTTTAGATTCTTTACTTTTTTTTAGAGAGAGAGAGAGATTTTCACTATAGCGTACGTATGCTTGCCGGAGAGACAGAGAGACAGAAAGTGAGAAATCACCGCCCCCAGGGGGGATGGCCATGCCGCAATTCCTTCTCCTGCATTCTCCTCTCAGGATTTTGGACACACACGCACACGCACCTGGAGTGAGTTTAAGCCACCAGGTCCAGGAGTCGAATGACGGTCTACTATATGGGAGTCCAGCAACGTAAGTATTACACCATCTGCTGATCCCAGTATTTTTCTTAACTTAGTCTAACAGAAAGGGGGAAAGGAATATCAGGAAAGTGGGCATTAAAATAAGGATGGGGAAATGGTCAAAATCTATCTGTGAGGAAAAAAGTTCAAGGGAGGTTTTAGTCACTGAGGACAAATGTGACAAATAGAACAGTTTCATGTGGCTCAACACAGTTTGTATTCTGCTCAGAGCAAATAAAAGCTGCATTTAGAATTTCTAGTTATGACATGCCTTATATGATTTATGAAGTCTCTGATTTTTAACACAAACTATGTTCCAAAGGAACTTTATTTCAAGGGACTCTTTAATTACCAACAGATTCTGTTTTCCCCACCATAATCTAAAATTCCTCCACTCCATTTTCATTTTGATTCAAAAGAAACAGCTACCCTTAAGAGGGTAGGGACAACTTCTTGGCCAACTGCATGAGGCCAAGTACCTAAGTAAGAAATTTATACTCTACTTACGCTTTTCATGGATTGCTGGAATCCTCAGGGTAGCCACTGGGGACTCCCCAAGAGAATTATAAGAAATCACAGACACGTTGTAAGTCTCGCCACCCAGATGCAGTTTGATCTGCTGGTTAGTGGTGTTCACTGTCTCTGTGAGGTTCATGTTGTTTTCTGGAAAGTACCATATGCTGTAGCCAAGTACTTTCTCCAGGACTGGGGCTCCTTTTGCCTTCTGATGCCAAAGGAAACAAAATTTATTGCCAACACCAAAACAAGAAAGGCATTGAGACAGTGATAGTAATTGGGATTGGAATGTCATTTGGCAAAACAGAGTGAGTTCACCATTTTCCCAAAGATTTTAAACTTGCCTGGGCTTCAGCAAGTATAATATGACATGAGGAGTATTTCCCCAAAATTCTGGAGATGCACTAACTAGAGTTTTGGCATCTCACTCCTCTCATCCCTCTCTTTGTCCTCCCAACTTCTCTGTCTTTTCCCCTATTTCCTGTGCTTTTATCTGCCTTTTCTCCTTGGGGCTGATTCCCTCTCCCCACCCCACTTTGCTACTTTCCCACTTTCTTGTCTTAGCTCATGCTCTTTCTCCTCTTCTCTGCATTGCATATCTGCCTTGTCTTCACTCCTCATTCCCAGGCCTTCCCCATAGAAGACCACCTGGCCCTTCATCTGCCTTTTCACCCAACTATCTCAGCACCCAAAGGGGCACATATGCCATATATGCTGGCAATGGCCTGAGGACACCCTAGTGAGCTGATTCCCACTCAGAGCACTTCTCAGATGTGGGTGACTCTTCAGGGGCTGACACTGCTATCCAGCAGAGGCCAGTCAGTGATGTATTCCTCCAGAAGATCTGGTGCCTCCCACACTTGCTCTTTGCACCTGCCCCAAATGTTACCGTTTCATCCCAAAGAAGAGGGGACCAAGGTCCACAATGTATGCTCAGGCTATCTGTAAGATGACCTTTGGGGGCTTTTTTGAGCGTGGTAATCATAGTGAGATTTGAAGACTCATAAAGCCCTCTAGGAAAGAATTTTTCAGATTTTAGAGGAGTAGACCAAGAGTTTTTAAACAGGAAAACAAACACAGAGGCAGTCACCTTCCACAGCAACCACACTGGCCTTCTTCCATCTGTCTCAGCTGGTCTCAGAACTCTCCACAGATCCAGGCCATATGGAGCTATAAGGAACAAGAGAGATGCTCAGTCCAGCCCAGACAGAAGGGTGCTGCAACAGAGATGGGGAAAGTTAGCAGGGCAAGGGGCCAGCAGATGGTGTAATGGTTATTTCGCTGGACTCCCACGTGGTCGATTGTGGTTTAATTCCCAGACCTGGTGGCTTAGAACTCAGGCTATGCATGTGCGTGCATGTCCAAAATCCCGAGAGAAGAATGGAGGAGAAGGCTATGTAGCATAGTCATCCCCCCTGGGGAGTGATTTCTCACTTTCTGTCTCTCTGTCTCTCTCTGTCTTTCTGGAAAGTGTGCTCGTCCTATACCAAAAAATCTCTCTTAATTAAAAAAAAGTTAGCTGGGCAATTGGGAAGGATCTGCTTGAGGGTAGGAGAAAGGTGGAGTGTAGAGGAACAGCAATGTTACAATGACCAACAGTGTTTTCATTGTGTGGTCAAAGGGTTAAATCAACTATAGATAAAAAGTAAAGCAAAACCACTCTTGGGTATAATGTCTTAATGTAAAGTACAATAAACTATTGTTATATACTTTATCACGCAGATATGAACCAAAATACGGACTATCTCATGTCATCTAAGACTTATAAAGGTGAGAATGACACAGATAACTGATAAGAAGGTACATTATATATCATTTATACCATGTCTACTTCAAAACAGGATGAAACTATGATGTCATAGACTATAAGAAAGAATTAAATAAAGAAACAGGCTCCTTCCTGAACTCTAAATTTGATGTTGGTCTTCTTGGCAGATAAAATTTTAAAAAAAAGAATCATTTCAAGTTACATATTTCTCATGGCCTGATAAAACAGAAACACAAAATTTCATATGAAGAGGAAACTAATTTCTAGCTGTGGATACTGAATTCACAAATGGAATTTATCGTGTGGCACCTCTCAGAAAGGACACCAGTAATGTCAAGGCAATATCTTCCTGTTCTCAGCTAAGCAAAAGCACAGAAATAGTGCATACATACATTGTGCATGGTTGTCTTTTATGAAATGCAAGGGCATACATCCTGACTCATGCCTTTCTTCAATAAACCACATAGTCCAAGTGTACCTGCTTCTGAGGATAAACCTTATAAAAGCAGGAGTCAGCAGATGGTGTGGAGGTTAAGATTGCTGGATCACATATGGCCAACAGCATGATTTGAGTCCCAGACCCAGCAGTTTGAAAATCATGCCAGGTGCATGTGCATGTGTGCCCAAAATCCTGAGAGAAGACTGAAGGAGAAAAGATTATGGTGTGACTATCCCCTCCTTGCAGTGATTTCTCACTTTCTCTCTCTCTCTTTCTCTCTCTCTCTGGTGTCTCTCCCCAGCGAGTGCATGAACAAAACCTAAAAAAAAGGAAACTTACAAAAACAAGAAATTAACCTTTCACTTGATTTCTGCACTATAGCTCCCAAATATCATGTTTCAAGCAAGTTTTTGCAAGTAATGGATTATTGGCAATATGTAGTTGAATGCTCTGAAATACACTTGAAATGTCAAAATACTAAGCTGCTAGTTAAAGAATGACTCACACTTTAGTCATCAGAGGAAAGCAAAGAGTTCTAAAGAACTCTTCAGAAGGCTAGTGGTCTATAATTTGGAGAAGAGAGGAAATATCTCTTGTAATTAAAGCCAAAGTTTACTCTGAAACTTTTCTTGAGGAAATCACATGGCTGGGCATAATACAATTAGATCTATAAAGAATGGGGTCCATCGCTCAGGCCAATATCTAAACTATTTTAGTATGAAGAGATTATCTTCTGAGAACTTTATAATTTTTAGGTAATTGGGTATCTCCGAGTGAAAATACTAAACTCCAATTAAAGACAACCCTGAACTGTAGAAATAGGTACCATAGGGCAATTAAGCCAATAACTTGTTTCATCACAATGGATGGTCCCATTTCTACAACCAAATGTGAGTAACAATCTAGCTGTTAAGCTGAGGCAGGCTCTCCCAATTAGATCTATTACAATTCCATTTAAACTGCTTATAAGGATATTAGGACTATATAGACCTTACATATGACTTCACCTGAGCTCCAGTATGTTCTCATAAACGCTCTGCCAGGAGTTTTCTGATTTCCCTAAGGTCTTTAATGAGTCAGAAAATAGAACAGCCAGTACTCAAATTTTTCAGACAGGGAGCCTCAGGCTGGTTTTGGCTTGTCTACAAGCTAGTAAGATAGAAGCAGAGGCAAAGTTCCTCCCTGAAGGCAGCCTTGGCACACAGTTACAAAGTTATTAGATCTTTGCAGTGAGCCAGCAGGTGGCAAAGTGGTTAAGGTACTGAAACCCCACAAGGTGGACTGTGGTTTGAGCCCCAGATTTGGAGGTTTGAAACACACCAGGCATGTGTGTGTGTGCGTGTGTATGGTCAAATCCCAAAAGGAGAATGAAGGAGAAGGGATTACAGCATGGCCATCCCCCCTCAGGAGGTGATTTCTCACTTTCTCTCTCTCTGTCTCTCCAGTGAGCACATGTGATGACCTGGTGCCATTGTAGCTTGAGGTCTCAAGCCTGGTTAGCACATCACAGTCCAGCCACCCCTAATGTCAGTCTCCTCAACTTGTTTATTGCCAGAAACAAGATTTACTATTTCATCTATTTTATTATTTAGTTCAGATGACTTGGTTAAAGTTAATTAGCAAAACACTAAAATTTTTCTCTAAAAAAAAACCAAGGTAACCCACAGAATTACAGGGACTCTCTGGGGTAGGCAAGTGGCATGGTGGTTAAGGGTGCTGGACTCCCACATGGCTGATTGTGTTTCAAGTCCTGGACCTAGCAACTTGCTTTCTCACTTTCTCTCTCGCTCTCTCTTTCACTCTGTTTCTCTTTGGTGAAAATTAAAATAAACACTCTGTTTCTCTTTGGTAAAAATTAAAATAAATAAATAAATGAATAAAGTTAAATAAAATAATTTAAAAAAAAAGAATTACAGAGACTCTCACTCTATCTTTCACAAGCAGAATCTTCCTGTTCCATTCATGTGGAAATTCAAAGTCAGAGATAATAACGACAGTAAAAAAATAAATAAATTAAATAAAATAAAGACAAAATGTTCATTACAATCCAGTCCTGAATACTATCTCAAGGATAGTTGTAGGCAAAAATAAACTGACGGTTAAATAATAAATCTTTCTAGGCTCTTAATTACAAACATGAGTAAAATTCTCTTTAGACTTATTTCATGAAGAGCGGCAGCAGGTGGTGTGGTGGTTAAGAGCACTGAACTCTCACATGGCCAACCACAGTTCAAGTCCCAGACCTGGTGGTGGCCTTCTCTCTCTTTCTCTCCCTCTCACTGTCTTTCACTCTGTCCCTCAAATTTAAATAAATAAATAAATAGACAAAGTTAAATAAAATAATTCTTTTAAAAAAAAGATTTATTTCATGGGTAGCCATTTAGTTTCGGTAAATAGTAATAATGAATTAATTTAATCAGGTATTTTCTTCATTCATTTAGGCCACTATTTCCTGTAGATACCCTCCAAAGAGAAACAGTCTTCCCAATAGAGCCCTTCCACAGGTGCAGCTTTGAGTAAAATCACTCCCTGATTGGCATGTAGATATTCTGTAATTATTACAACCAACTTTCCATTAACCATGAGTTGCTATGGATTTATAGTTTAATCAAAGCAGGGAGAGAAGTAATAACATTATCTATGAAAAAAAAGCAAAATTAAAAATTTCCAAATCAATAGAAATATCTACATATTCAAAGCATTGATTGTCTAAACTGATAATAGTAACACTCTGAGGCTGTCTTGTTCCTATTACAATATGGGTATCCCTACAACCCCATCAACTGGATACATATCAGTACTCTTACTAAAGACCAACAATACCAATAACTAACTGTCAGCAAGTTGTCACTATCCTGAGGCATTTTACCTGACCTTAACCCCCACAGTCACATAATTAGGTACAACGGTATTACTAGGCCCATTTTTGAAGCACAGAGAAATTAAATAACAAGCTTTTAAATAACAAACCTAGGATTTGAATTGAATTATATTGAATCATATAGTAAGCAGATATTTTAAATGCTTATATGTAGGTAAGTATCCCATAAAATCAACATACTGAAACTCAAAAGGAAATGGATGAAGCTTCATATTCAACTTAGAAGTTTTCAAACAATTAGAAAGATTTGAGGTGGTGTGTATTAAACAATTGGCATTTCATTGAAATAGGAAAACACAGGGTTTATGAATTAGAAAAGAAGAAATTGGGGTTTGCTGAGGGTTTCTATCACCTCTCTTTGGGATCCTGAAAAAAAAAAAATGAAGGAAAATAAAACCAAAAGTTCTCTACTGGTGACTTAGATAAATGTGCTGATTTGATTCAATTAGTAAAGGTCACAGAGAACATCAGCTTCTAGTGTTTTGCTAATTAACTTTAACCAAGTCATAGGAACTAAATAATAAAGTAAATGAAATAGTAAATCTTGTTTCTGGCAGTAAACGAGTTGAAGAGATTGCCATTAGGAGTGGCTGGCTAACCAGGCTTGAGACCCCGAGCAACAATGGCACCAGGTCATCACTAAAGAGAAGAGCGGCAGCCACTGTGAGAAGAGCTGAGCAAAACATGATTGCACCGAGGTGGTACTTAGTCCCAGACTGCCTGCTGAAAGATGGAACAAATGAAGGGGACAATATGCTCAATGGTATTTCATGTGTTTCATTCTAATATTTTTAAAAGAAGATTCAACTGAGACAGACAACACTGACTACATGAACAGATTATAACCACTGGGCTACTTTTTAAAAAGATTTTTTTAAGATCTATGTTATTTGATTATTGTTATTATAAATTTGCTATTGTGTGCTCACCAGAGAGAGAGAAAATGAGAAAGCAAGTCACCAGGTCCAGGAATTGAACCACAATCAGCCACGGGAGTCCAGCTCCTTAAACAACACAACACCTGCTGGTCCCAAGGGCTATGTTTATTTTGACTGTGCAACCTATGTGTTATTCATATTTGTAAAATATTATATTTCTCTCTCTCTCTCTCTCTCTTTTTTTTTTTTTTTTTTTTTTTTTTGCTATAAGGTACATGGCTCTCATCAGAGAGAAAGAAAGAACACCCCCACAGGAGGGATGGCCTTGTTGCAATCTCTTCTTCTCCTTTCAGGATTTTGGGCACGCATGTATATGCACTAAGTATGCTTTCTTTATTTTTTTGAGAGGTCTTTGCTATAGGGTACGTGCGCTCGCCGGAAAGACAGAGAGACAGAAAGCGAGAAATCACTCCCCAGGGGGGATGGCCACAACATAATCCCTTCTCCTCCATTCTCCTCTCGGGATCTTGGGCACGCACGCACACACGCCTGGCGTGAGTTTAAGTCACTGGGTCCAGGACTCGAACCGTGTTCGACTACATACATGGGAGTCCAGCGACATAGCCATTACGTTAACTGCTGGTCCCATGCGCTAAGTATGTTTTCCAAGTCATCAGGCCCAGGACCCAAACCACATAGTTGCCCATGTGGGATCCAGCCACCCCAACCACCACACCACCAAATGGACCTCACTGGACACTCTGAGATGATGTCTGTAGGATATAAGTATGTTCCCAAATATCATATGTAATTTCAATTAAAAAATACATTAAATCCATATCTTAACTATTTTTTAATCCATGCATGTATTTTTATTTATTGAAAACTTATACAGCCTTCACCATGTATAAAGTGCAGTTCGGAGCACTTAACCACATAGAGATTTTGGATTTTCTGTGACTTTTTCCTGTACTACTCCAACATGGGATGGAAGATGGATGGGATGTCTGAATGGCACATAAGAATGGAGTCTTTGGTTGAAAAGAGCCTTTGAAGGTCCTCTAGCCCAATTCTCAATTTATATCATGACTTATCCCTACTCTGTGACCACATTCACCGAGGGGCATTCAGGACTAAGCTTGAGCATCTCTAGTGAATACAAAATCCAGAAGGCATCAGATTGGTTCCAGACATCTGGCCATGTGGCTGAGCACACCAAACATCTGTGACTCCTACTTGGTCTCATGAGATACTCATGCAGGATCCAGATGCATAAATTATTATAATATGAGCCAGAGAGCACAGAAGTTGAGCCCAGATGTTACCTGAGATTGGTTTGAGACTTAGCTATGTGAGACTGAGTAAGAAGGACCTAAAATCATGGCCATGGGGAATTCATGGTCTAAAACTACATCTCTTAGACAAAATAAGGTTAAAGCTTCAGAGGAAAATTACAGGGGTGGATTTTTTTTTTCTTTTCTACAATTCAGAAGATGTGTGGACATCAAGTATTAATCTAATTAGTCATTCATTCATTTTTTTTAGAGCCTGAATAATGACCCCAGATGATATCTTGGTCCTAATCCATAGAAACTATAAATGTTTTCTTATGTAGCAAAGAAAACTTTGTGGATATGATTAAGTATCTGGAATTGGAGACATTATGCTGGATTATTGAGATGGGCCCTAATTGTCATCACAAAGATCCTTATAAGTGGGAGACGTGGATAGATTTGACACAGAAGAGGAGAAAGGGTGATGTGAAAATAGAAGCTCAGACTGGAGTGAGGAGCTTTGTAGATGGAGGCAGAGGTCACAAGCCAAGGAATACAAAGAGCTACTAAAAGCTGGGAAAGGCAAGGAAGCATTGTCCCTTCAGAGTCTCCAATGGAAACAACTCTGCTGATACCTTTACTTTCTTTTGCCCAGTTAACTTGATTTTGGATGTCTGACTTCCAGGACTACAACAGGATAAATCTGTGTGGCTTTAAGCCACTAAAGTTGTGGTGTTTCGTTATGGCAGCCATTAGAAACTAATGCATTCATCAAACATTTAATGATCATTTGCTGGGGATCAGGCACTAGGTAAGGCTCTTAAGAATAGTAGCATATACTGAGTGACCCCAAGACATCTATAAATATCTCTGAAACTCAGCTCCTTCACTTCTAAAATGGGAAGGACTCTACATACTTTACAGAGTTATTGAGAGGATTAGTAACAGTAATAGAAGCATGAAGAGCAATAGTAGGAAATCTGGCATTTAATGAATGTTCACCATGGCCTAAACACATTATTTCACTTAATCTTTTTTTTTTTTTTTTTTTTGAGAGGTTTTTGCTATAGTTTGGCATGTGCGCTCGCTAGAAAAACAGAGAAAGACAGAGAGACAGAAAGTGAGAAATCATGCCTCTGGGGAGATGGCCATGCCACAATCCCTTCTCCTCCATTCTCCTCTCAGGATCTTGGACACATGCATATGTGCCCAGAGTGGGTTTAAGCCACCAGGTCCAGGACTCGAACCATAGGCAACTACATGGGAGTCCAGCGACATAGCCATTATGCCAACTGCTGGCCCCTATTTCACTAAATTTTTAAAGTAACACTTAAACAGTAGTACTACTAGAAACTAGTACAAAGTATACCACAAAGTATGGTCCAATATGCAAAAGGAGAACAAGTAGTGAGAAAATGGAGGCATAGAGATTAGTTACTTTATCTAAAATCACTCCAGAGGAGGTTGAGAAAAGCCAAGCACCCTGAATAAAAGCCCTATTCTTACTTTTCTTTTAAGTTTATTATTTTCACAAGAGTTAAACACAAAAAGAGAGATAAATACAAGGACTCTGAACAGGGTTTAATGCCATATTCACCCTCAGCCGTCCCAGCCAACCAGCACCATGGGCACACATGCCTGGCTTGTATGGTCGGCCAAGGAATCCAACCCACAATTACAAGCCTTATTCTTAATGGCCATACCCAAGGTACAGTAAGCACTACACCAATGTGTGGTCCATGTCTCTTTCCTTGCCTCTCCGTCATTAAAGATTTGATTTTTATTTCCCATCAATTATACCTATCTTTTTTGAAATGGTTTATAATATACATACTTAGCTTATCACAGGATCCTTTTAAATGACATGATACCGCATCATGTTTACATAAGACCTTACAAGAATATTAAAGATGTGATCCTTTGCCTTCAGGGCACAAAGCTGCTAAGGTAACTAGCAGCATCAGTGGAGCACAGCTTCCCTAGGATCAGGCAGACGTGGTAAGTGCCTATGGAGAAGGACCTTGCAGATTTGCAGGCCTGGGATTCTGAGACGCCATGATTCCCAAGTTGGCACTTGACAAAACCCATCATGTCTAGGTCAAGACAGCCCTATAGCAGAGTAGGGAGGAAATGAATTACAGGGAGTAGCTTGCCTTCCTCCTCGGTCATCCCAATTTTTTCTTGGCTCCAGTCACTCCAGAACATTGAATCCTCAGCTGCGCACTGCAGAGCTATGACATACTCTGTAAAAGCCTGCAGCCCCGTGAGGTTGTAGGTGTGGTCTGTATTCTCATAGTGCTGGGTGAAGTTGACTTCCATCTACAAGAGAGAGACATCCCTGGGCTGAGATAATGACGCTCATGTTATTTCCCACATTTCCTCTTCACTCTCAAAGCTCTTTTACCTCTTCAGAGGTAACACCCTATCTCAAATTTTAAAAGATGCATTTTCATAAACCTCCAAATTTTCCTGGGGACAATTTGCACCTAAATGGATGTCAATCACCCCATGAACTGCTATGCCCTCCTTCCTATCTCTAAGCTTATTGGGGGCACAGAGGGCTGCCTCAGGGCTGGATAAAAGTAAGTGTCATCCACTTGCTGTTCTGGAAGATGCAAAGCAGAATCTTATGATCCAGGACAACTTAGCCTCAGCTTAACTTCAGAAGTGACTCCAATACCTGGCTATACAGCCTCATAGAACAAGAGAAGCAACCTCAGTTGCATTATCATCAGCAAAATTAGGACCAGACACAAGTCTTGACACCCAGATATATAAATTTATTTTGACACACTCATGGGCAGAATAGAGGTAAAATAAAGAGGAAAATGGTTAAACTATGGACTCTCTGGTAGCCAACCTATCTAGATACACACCAAGGTAAAATGAAAAGTTAATTTCTCACTCTAATAATATGTCCCTGTGCTCAGCATGCAAAATGCCTGTGGTAGAACATTTCTCCAATCCAAAGATCCAGGGAAGGGAAGTTCTTACTAATGTCTCTCTTCTATTTTCAACATAGACAATGAAAATGATAATGCCAGGTCAACAAAAGTCATCAATGATTTTCTTTCTCAAGTCCTCTGATAGAAACATCATAGTGGCATAACTTACCCAGTGGCTACTATTGACTGTCCTGAATCGAAGCATGTATTTTAAATTGGACGAAGCAGGTGCCAACATGGGCTTCTTCCATTTTATTTGAACCATTCGTTTGATACCCAAAACTGGTTTCACAATAGAAATCACAGGTGGTTCAGTTTTTACTGAAAATAAAAATTATACAATTTTAATATTTACAAAAAATGAGAAGGTGCTAATAGCATACACCCAAAATTGTGGGGGAAATAAGCCTAGAAAGAAAACAACAGTGCATAATTTGTGGTCTGCTATATAGAGATGGCATAAGCAAGGCAGTGCAAAAGGAATGCCACCCTCTTCCTACCCCAAACAGAATACCTAAGGAAAAGTAATTCATCCCTGTGCTCTTTCTGCAAATCACCCTTTTATTGATTGATTTATACCCCAAGCAGAGGTGATCACATGATCAGAAAATAGGTTGTTCCCCTTAGATACTCTCCTCTCCCCTAAGTCTTTCTTTGACTTCTAGGATGAAAAAATATCCACTAAAAAGCACTTCTCATTCTCCTTGCACACTGCAAACATTCTAGCCCAAAGTTCTCTCATTTAAAATAGTCGACTTCGGTTCAAGTCCCAGGAGCATGTGCACGCGTGTCCAAGATCCCGAGAGGAGAATGGAGGAGAAAGGATTGCAGCATAGCTATCTCCCCTGGGGGGTGATTTCTTGCTTGCCATCTCTCTATCTCTGTCTTTCTGGAGAGCACACATGCCCTATAGCAAGAAAAAAAAATAAAATATGTGTTTTCTTAGATATAAAAGAAGTATGTACTCATTAAAGAAAATGTTTAAAATATAAGAAAATACCCCTAAAAAACTTTAAATCATTCATAATTTCAACCAGAGATAACTCTTATTAATTTTTGATACATTTACTTTCAGGGTTTTTTCCTAAAGTTATCTGCATATCTTTTAAACAAAATTGATATTATGCTAAAGAAATCTTTTGATTTTCTAAATGACATTATACAATCATTATATAACCCTTTCTATTAAAAATTCTTCAAAATGGGGCCAGCAAATGGTGTGGTGGTTAAAGACACTGGACTCCCACTTGGCCAACCATGGTTTGAGTCCTGGACCTGGCAGCTTGCTTTCTCTCTCTCTCTCTCTCTCTTGCATCTCTCACATCTCTCTTGCTCTGTCTCTCTCTAGTCACATTAAAATAAATAAAGTTAAATAAAATAACTCTTTAAAAATTCTTCAAAACATGATTTTTTAAAGTTTTATAATATTTCACCTTGCTTCATAATATTTTACCTTATGGATGAACAAAATTTATTTGACTACTGTTATACTATTGGACCTTTCTAATGGTCCACTTTTTCATTTATAGCTCCTTGAGGATAAAGGCTAGTCTTGATCACAGGGGCTAGAATTAATACCTGACACAGAGCAGATACCAAATATTTGCTAAGTGAATGGATAAGTGGATGACAGCTACAAATGTTTATTCAGATACTGGTAACTGTGATCATTTATAACATAGGATGGATTGAAGTATAATTTTTCATTGTTCATAAAAAGAGTAAGTAAATTATCAGCATAAATGGTGTGGGGGAATTTTCAGCAATCAACAAAACTATCTTCAGCTTTTCTTAAAAGCATTATCATAGTCCCATCCATTTAAATTCAAAGAAGAAAAATCCTAATTATAAAAATATCATTATTCAATTATGAAATCTTCTTACTTCATTAGAAGATTCCAAAAAGATCTTAGTAGTCAGCAATTCTTTACAAGCCCCTATAGATATATTATAAAACAGAATTTCCTTAAATATTAATTTCATAATTCTGGTATTATTACTAAGTTAGATGAAAATTCCACCTAAGTTTTAAGAGTTGCAGTTACAGAATATCTAAACAGATACTAAATCTAGTTTAAAAAGAGACTAGGAAGTTTTGTTTCATTTTGTTTCTAGTTTTCTTTATCACTAAATTTGTTTTTTAATATTTTAAATTGCAGGCCAGTCCCATAGCTTAGTGTTTAAGGGAGCCAGATCGCACATAGCAAACCACAGCTTGAATCCTGACCCTGGCAACTTGAAAAGTACACTGAGTACATGTCCATCTATGTTCCAAATCGTGAAAGGTTGGATAAGAGAAAGGCTCATTTTCCCAATTTAAAAACTTATTATGAAGTTACGCGGTAAAGACATACACATATTGAAAATGAAGGCATACAGTCATTTCATGTACACAGAAACCAAAAAAAAAGCTGGAATCATGAGACTGATACCAGACAAAATAGAGTTGAAGCAAAAGTTAGTAAAAAGAGACAAAAGCCATTATATACTAATAAAGGAATTAATTCACCAAGAAAATGTGACAATTATAAATATTTATGCACGCAATATAGGAACACCCAAATACAGAAAACAAAAACTACTGAACCTAAAGAGAGAGAGCCTACAACACATTTATTGTTGGGAGATTTCAACAGTTCACTTTCACTACTGAACATGCCATGTAGACAAAAAATAAACAGACACAGGAACTAAATGATGCCATAAACCAATTGGACCTGACAGACATATACAGAATATTTCACTCAACAGTGACAAAATACATATTTCTCAGCCTCAAGTGGAACATTTTTGAAGACTGCCACAAAATAAGCCTTTGAAAATTTTAAAGAACAGAAATCCTATCTAGCATCATTCTGACCACAGTAGAATTAAACTTGAAATAAAGCTTTTAAAAACATACAAGTTCAGGGAACCAACAGTTAGCGTAATGGCTGTCGCTGGACTCCCATGTAGTCGACCGCAGTTCGCGTCCAGAACCCAGTGGCTCAAAACTCACACCGGGCGCGTGTGCGTGCATGCCCAAGATGCCGAGAGGAGAATGGAGGAGAAGAGATTGCGGCGTGGCCATCCCCCATGAGGGTGATTTCTCGCTTTCTGTCTCTCTTTCTGTTTCTGTCTGGTTGGCGAGCTCACACACCCTATAGTGAAAACCTCTCAAAAAAAAAAAAAAAGAAACATACAAGTTCAGGGGACCAGAAGTTAGTGCAATGGCTGTGTCGCTGAACTCCCATGTAGTCAACCGCGGTTCGAGTCCCGGACTGGGTGGCTTAAACTCACGCCAGGCGCGCGCGCGCGTGTGTGTGTGTGTGTGTGCCCAAAATCCCGAGAGGAGAAGGGATTGTGGTGTGGCCATCTCCCCTGGGGGGTGATTTCTCGCTTTCTGTCTCTCTCTGTCTTTCTGGCAAGCGCACGCACCCTATAGCAAATACCTCTCAAAACACACACACACACACCCACACACACACACACATACAAGTTCATGAAAACTAAGCAATTTACTCCTGAATGAATTTGAAACTACTGAAAAAAATTTTAAAGTTTATTGAAACAAATGGTAATGAAAATACAACTCTGGAAAATCTTTAGGATACAATGAAAACAGTCTGAAGAGGGAAGTTTATAGCAACTAGTGCTCACAAGAAAAAAAATAATAGGAAGATAGCAAATAAAAGGCCCAACGATATATCCTGAGAAACTGGAAAAGCAAGAAAAACAGTAAAAACAACAAAAATGTAGAGGAGATGAACAAATTTCTGGACACATGCTATATACCTAGACTGAATCAGAAAGAAAGACCCTATTTTTAAAAATCAAGTGTGGTATTGGCCTAAATACAGAAAAACAGATCAACAGAATAGAATTGAGAAGCAAGAAAAATGTATTTATGGTGAACTGATTCTTTATAAGGTGCTAAGATAATTTAATAGCAAGAGAGAGTTAGAAATTATCTTTCAACAAATGGTTCTGGAATAATTGCACATTCACATGTGAAAGAATAAAGTTGGACCACTATCTAACATCATACACAAAAATTACTCAAAATGGATCAAAGGTCTAAATGCAGGCGCTAAAACCATAAAACTCTTAGAAGAAAATACAGGGGTAAATCTGTGTGACCTCAACTTAGACAACAGTTTATTATATATGACACCTAAAACATAAGCAATTTTTTAAAACAAATAGGTAAAAAGTACTTCATCAAGAAAATGAAAAGAGAGAGCCAAGTAGGTGGCATGGTGGTTAAGGTGCTGAATTTCCACATGGCAAACAATAGTTCAAATCCTGAACTTGTCAGTTTAAAAAGCATGCTGGATCTATGCACATATGTGCCCAGAATCCCAGGAGGAGTGTGGAAGAAAAGGGATCATGGTGTGGCCATCCCCACTACGAGGGTGTGTGTGTGTGGAGGGTGAGTGGTTTCTCACTTTCTTTCTCTCTGTCTCTTTCCATCGATCACATGTGTCCTATGGCAAAAAAAAAAAAAAACAACCCTATATAAAAAAGAAAGAAAAGGGAACTAGCAGTTAGCGTAGGCTATGTTGCTGGACTCCCACATAGTCAACCGCGGTTCACGTCCTGGACCCAGTGGCTTAAAACTCATGCCAGGTGCGTGTGCGTGCGTGCCCAAGATCCCGAGAGGAGAATGGAGGAGAAGGGATTGCGGTGTGGCCATCCCCTCTGGGGGGTGATTTCTCACTTCTCACTTTCTGTCTCTATGTCTCTGTCTATCTGGCGAGCGCACATGCCCTATAGCGAAAAAACCTCTCCAAAAAAAAAAAAAAAAGAAAGAAAGAAAGAAAGAGAAAAGAAAAGAAAAAGATAACCTGTTGAATGGGAGAAAATATCTGTAACTCTTATATCTGATATGGAACTTGAACCAAAGTTATATATTAGAAAACTTCTAAAACTCAACAATTTAAAAAAATTAAAAATGAGCAAAAGATTTTAAGAAACATTTATCTAACGAAGACATAAAAATGGACAGCAAGGACATGAAAGATGTTTAAGATCATTAATCACTGGATAAATGCAAATCAGAACCATAATGAGATAGCCCATCACACTTACTAGGATGACTATAATAAAAAAGTTGGGTGGCCAGCAGGTGGTGTGATGGTTAAGGCACTGGACACTCCCACATGGCCGATCACAGTTAGAGTCTAGGACCTGGTGGCTTGCTTTCTCACTTTCCCTCTCTCTCTGTGTCTCCCTCTGGTCAAATTAAAATTAATTAATTAGTTAATTAATTAATTTTTTTTAAAGTTCGTAACAAGTGCCAGCAAGGATATGGAAAAATTGTGACCTTTATAAATTACTGGCAGAAATGTTAAATGGCATAAGCATCTTGTTAAAGTTTGGCAATTATTAATAAAGTTAAACATTGAGTTACTGTATGACTTGGCAGTTTCACTAGGTATATATGTGAGAGAATAGAAAAATATGTCACATAAAAATATGTCACACAAATATTCATAGCAGCATTATTCATAATAGCCAAAATGTAGAAACAACGCAAATGTTCACCTGATACATGGATAAACAAAATGTGAAATATTATTCAGTGGAATATTGTTCAGCTACAAAAAGGAAGGAAATATTATACTGATACATAGTACAATATGAGTGAACGCTGCAAACATTATGTGAAAGAGAATACAAGGATACTAATTAGACCATTGCAGCTATAGAAAATGTTCAAAATAGGGAAATCCATACAAACAGAAAAAAGATTTGAGGCTGCTAAAGGTTAGAAGAATGGGGAAAATAAGGGATTAAAAACTGACTGCTGACATGTATGAAGCTTCTTTTTGGGGTAATAAAAATGTTCTGTAATTAAATAATGGCAATATTTGCCCAACTTTGTGAACATAATCAAAACCACTAAACTATATAATTTAACTAGGTGAACCTTATGGTATGCAAATTACATATCAACAAAGCAGTTTTTCAAAAATTAAATGGTAAAACAAGATTTTAATTAAAAAGTTAGAATTAGCAAGACTTTTTTTTTAATTGCCAGCAGATGCATATGCTCTCCAGAGACAGAGAGCAAAAATCCCTAATCCCACCCCCAGAACTTGGGCCACAATGGTCCAACTACAATCCTTTTTCCTCCATTTCTCCATCCTATCAAGTCCTGAGCATTTGCCTAGTGAAGTTTTCAAGTCACCAGAGTCTGGATTGGAACTAGAGTCAGCCATGTAGATCCAGCATCCTATACATAGTACTTAACTACTGTGCTTCAGGGCTAGCCCAGTGACATTTTTTTAAAAAATAAAGAATTTCATTCTCTTTTCCTTCATGAACAATAAAGTTTTGGTGGCAGGGAGTGGGGTGGAGACAATCTTTCTGTTTCTTTTGATACAATTTATAATACAAATTACGAGGGGAAATCAGTAGCTAGCGAAATATCTCTCGGTTCTCATTCTTATTTTCTTCACTCAGTCAATTCCTTCCTTCCTCCTCCTCTCCCTTTTTAAATAACAAAACAAATTTTCTGTACATCCATAACACATATCTACTATACCCTTAAACTTTAAGTATTCTTAGGAGTTCACAGAAAACTCCTAAAAGGAAGGGGAGTTAACAACAAAGAGTCTAGAAAAATATCAAACAACACTTACTTATGGCATCTAAGCTCCAATGTGTCCTATCAGATCTGGTTATACCATCTTCATTTTGAGCTTCCACTACAATGTAGAAATCATCTGGGTATGCTATACTTGGAAGGAAAAAAGAGCACGAAGCTCGATTTTCACTTGTAGAACCATGGGTTGTACAATTATCATGTGCTTCTTCATAAAGGCTTTGAAGGAAAAGATTCAACATAGTTTAGTACAGTGGTTTAGAAACATAGCCATACTTCATGTATTACGCAGTAATTGTTCATTTTACTCTAGGTTCCTCTTACAAATGTACAGGCCATGATTTGGTTTTTCTTTCTCCAAATTCCATCCTTACCTCCAAAAGAAAGGTAAAAGTCACTCACTTTCTGCCTGCTTGAGATACTAAGAGGCATGAAGACCTCCCCGGGACCCTGGAAGCCCATTAAAAATTACATTTACAATACTTTTTCTATTGGCCAGAAATAATTTCAGATTCCTAAAAATTTCAGATTCCAGTCTCAAGGGGCCAGCAGGTGGCCATGATGTCTCTCTCTGTCTGTCTGGCGAGCACACGCGCCCTATAGCAAAAACCTCTCCCCAAAAAAGGGTATTTATATATGTATTACTTGCTTTTTCCTTTTCTTCTACTGTAAAACAACAACATGGACTTCCTTTTTTTTTTTTTTTTTCCTTAAGAGAGACTTTTGCTCAACGATGTGTGTGCTTGTTGGGGACACAGAGAGGAAAAGAGAGAAACCACCACCCAGGGAGGATGACCACATTGCAGTCCCTTCTCCTCCATTCTCCTGGGTTCTTGGGCACACACACATACACACATGCCTGGTATGAGTCTCAAGCTGCTGGGTCCTTGACTTAGAAGGCCATCAGCCATGTGGGAGCCCAGAACCTTAACCACTATGTCACCTGCTGGCCCCTGGATATCCTTTACAAAATGAAATATTTTATGTCTAAAACAAGCACATAAAAAACTTGGATCCATGGACTGTATCTCTGAAATGGAAAAGACTAAAGATTATTTTACAGTGGTTCCCAACATGCTCCCCCTAATCCTAGGGGAACAAGAAGGAAGTAATGAATTTGATAAGCTATGGTCAAACTTTAAAAAGAAACACACTATATATACTCATTAAAACATCGGCTTTTGGTTAGAATTGTAATCTAAAATTATAAAATTTTTATTCTAGTAGAATTAGGATAAAAGGGGATGTTTGCAGTAGTAAATACAATTGGGAAATCACTGTCCACGTGGAATGCTGTTGGTCAGGGGTCACACAGAAAATTAGTGGCAGGCTGAGGTCACTGTACCTCTGAATTCTGGATTCAGAACCTTCCTTGCTAGATTGAGATCCATGAAGGATGAGCAGTTGAGGAGGATATTGTTGAATACTGGAAGTAAACAGATTTTTCCACTGTGCTTATAACTGGAGTCTACTCCCAGCCAACTAGGCAGCTATAAGAGGAGGTCATCATGTGGCTCTAACCCCCCTCCCTCTGTGACTGTGGACCCTGTCAGCATGGCTGCCAAGTGGCCTAGATATCACTCCAGCCACAGATGTATGCAGCAGCCACCCAGGAGCTGTGACTTCTATTTCATAAGCCCCTTGAGTTATGAATAAACCAGGAGGCTTTGCCTCCTCCCCTTACCCCTACAGATAGCACACAAGCTCCAGTACTTACTAAGTTCTTTTAACTGTGTAATTGGTTTCCTTCTCCAGACTCCAAGTGCAAGTTAAATTTTTATTATAGTATAATACACATGAAATGTTCTCAGGCTTAGCTGGCAGAACTAGGAAAAATGTCACATAAACACAATTTTAGTATATGATAGATGTTGTCAGCATTGAACACTTTAATGAAAATAGGCTGATCAAAGCTAAGTTTGTTAGGGAGTTGCTAGGTAAAAAGCTTCTCTAATCAGATTCAGGGAAAGAATCTATCACTTAAAATGTTAAAATTGTATTTTTTTAATTTTATGTATCATATAAAGCCATAGAAGCTAACAAATGATGGAGATAAGCTATGGACCTTTTGAAGGTCATAGCTACCTTTGAAAATGATAGGCTACCTCTCCAAATCTGTACATGCAAGCATATACATGGACTTGTGTGTATGCGCACACACATACATACACAAATCCAGTGTTCATAAATATCCTACTGTCTGTCCTTACGTGTCCATGGTCCAGAAGTCCCTTTACTCTGAAGTTAACAATTCTTGTCTAAAAAAGGCAAGATGATCCTAAGAATCAGATGACCACCTAAAAATCAGATGATCTACAAAATGGCCCAGGTCAACCTACCTGCCAGGCTGAATTTGTAGAGTAATGGGAACACACACAGTATCCAGATCCACATTGTCCTCAAGTTACATACACACAGGCTGGGAGAGAGAGCTGAAAATGTCATTAGTCAAGAGAAAATTTGTTTCCTGATTCAACAACTCTATTTCCAATGACAATCTGGGCAGGAGAAAGAATCATTTCATTCTGTTTTCTTCATTAACATCAGATATATTTTTTCATAATTAATCCATCAACTCCAGTCAACATTATAAAGTTGTACGATTGCAACATGTTTTCCTCTTGTCTATAATCCACTCAACTATGCATTATAAAGGACATCAATCACCAAGAATATGCCAAGATCGCAAGTCTCTACAGATCTAAGGCCATGCTATGGCCTCTGCTTCAATTCCCAAAACGCTCCAATAAAATGGAGCAACTCTTAACTTGCAAAAAGTGCCTTGAGGGGGACCAGCAGTTAGCGTAATGGCTATGTCACTGGACGCCCACGTAGTTGACCGCGGTTCACATCCCGGACCCAGTGGCTTAAAACTCATGCCGGGCGTGTGTACATGCATGCCCAAGATCCCGAGAGGAGAATGGAGAAGAAGGGATAGCAGTGAGGCCATCCCCCCGGGGGGTGATTTCTCGCTTTCTGTCTCTCTGTCTCTATCTGTCTGGCGAGTGCACACGCCCTATAGCAAAAACCTCTCCAAAAAAAAAAAAAAAGTGTGTCTTGAGGGACCAGAAGATGGCATGATGGTTACATCGCTGGACTCCCATGTAGTCGAATGTGGTTTGAGTCACGAACCCAGCTTAAAACTCACGCCAGGAACATGTGTGTGCCAGAATCCTAAGAGGGGAATGGAGAAGAAGGAATTGCAGCATGGCTATCCCCCCTGGGAGGGGGGTTCTCACTTTCTGTCTCTCCGGCTCTCTCTGTCTCACCAGCAATCACACATGCCCTAAGCAGAAATGACTCTTGAAAAAAAAAAAAAAAAAAAGGTGACATGCTATTTCCATTTTTGTGCTTTGTAGAGTTCTATAATGCCTTTTCTCCTTATTCCTGGCAAATCAACTCATCTTTCCAGACTCATTTCAAGTAACCTTCTCTAAGGAGCCTTCCCTAAATTCCCACCCAGAGTTGATCAGTTGGTTCCTCCTTTGTGCCCCACTCTCTGCTATGTCATCTGTCCTATAATATGTGTCACACTGACGTGTTTAGCAGTTTTCCACTGTCTTCTCTACAAACAGGGAACTTCTTGCGAGGGGTGCCTCTCATTCGTTGAAGCCTTACTATTTAAGGCAGTGCCTAGTACGTGATAGGCATTCAATATGGTTTGTGGAATTTGATAGTTAATTTTAACAAAAATACTCCTGAGTCCTAATTTCATCCCAGAGAAGATGGTGCAGTAGTCTAAGGATAAAGCAGACCCAGCATGGCCAAGTGGTTTAAATGACTAGATTCCACATGGCTGCCTGCACATTTCACGTTTTGGACCCAGTGGTTTAAAAAACCTGTTGGGTGAGATCAGCAGTGGCATGGTGGTTAAAGTACTGGACTCCCACATGCCGAACTGCTATTCAAGTCCCTGACCAGGCAGCTTGCTTTCTCATTTTCCCTTGCTCTCTTTCTATGTCTCTCTCTGGTCAAACCAAAAAGCAATAATAACAAATGCAATTAAATAAATAATTTTTAAAAAAAGAAAGAAAGAAAAATATGTTGGACACATGTACAGGCATGCCCAGAATTACAGAAAAGAAGGAGAAATGGTGGAGGGACTGCAGCATTACCATTCCTCATAGGGAATGCCTTCTTGTTTTCCCTCTCTCTATGTCTCTCGCTCTCTGGCAAACACATGTGCCCTCTGGTAATATTATTTAAAAAAAAAAAAAGGATGCAGCAAATGTAAAAGCAATAACTCATTTCAGGAAGAATAAAAAATGTTATATTCTCATCTGACAGATTACAGCAGAAAAAATGAAGAAGAGTCCTCAGCAAAATAAATCATTTCAGGAAAATTCACTTGCAACATTCAGAGAAAACAACAGTGATCAACTATTTTCATATACAAACCAAATGAGATACCTAACTAGTTAGACATGCCTGGATGACCAGGTAGCATGGTCGTTGGGACAGCTAGCTCCCACCTGACTGACTAGCAGTTCAAGTCCTGCACTTAGTGGCTTGAAAAACACATTGGGCATGTGTGCGTGCATGGTCAAAATCCCAAAAGAAGGGACTGTACTGTGGCCATCCCCTCTGGTGGTTGCTTTCTCACTTTTTCTCTTTCTCAGTGTTGAATGTATAGGCTCTATAGCAAAATAAAATAAATAAATAAATAAGAGAAGAAGACATGCCTAAAGAAATACAGCAGAATGAGAACTTGAATCTATAATAATAAAAATGTCATCATAAAACTTTAATAAGAGCAGGTTATACAACTGCAATTATTAACACCTCATATTGCTCAATAGCAGTTTTCCTCCCAAGAAAGAGTTGCTTTGATTTAAATGAGTACAAAACTCAAAGAGGAAACATTTTTAATTTTTCAATGAAAAGTAAATGTGTCTTAAAAGCCAGGTGTTGTGGTGTGCACCTATAGTCTCAGCTACTTTGGAGGCTGAGGCAGGAGAATAGTGACATAGTGAGAACCAGTCCTAAAAAAGGAAGGGTAGCCAGTGGAACAGAGGTAATATAATGCTCCCCAATGTTGAACCCATCCCAAGACTCCCTGTACACAACAGGCACACCAAAGCACGCCCATGATCCAAGCTAGCTGAGGCTGGGGCTGGGTTACAGCATAAAGAGCCTGTCAGGAGTGTCCATCCCTCTCTTTCTCTCTCCATCTCTTTCTCTCTCTGACCCTATCTCATGAAAGAAATAAATAAATAAGCTTTTACAAAAGAATAGAGGCCACCTGGTGGTAGCTGATTAAGACAGCTGGATCACACAGGGCTGACTGGCCATTTCTAGTCCTATAACCAGAGGCTTGAAAAAATGCTGGGTGCCTGAGCACGCATACCGAAAATCCCGGCAGGAGGGAGAGATTGAGAAGAGACTGTAATGTGACCATTCCCCCATGGGGGATGCTTTCTCACTATCTCTCTCTTTCTCTCTCTCTCTCTGGTAAATGCATGTACCCTCTAGCCCACCCCCCCAAAAAAAAGGAATAAATGTGTCTTTAAAAATTAATCATAACATTAATAGCATTCCTTTGTGTCTAATTATTCAGAAAGTTGTTTTAATGTTCTCTGTCTCTTAGGCCATTGCCTCTAGTCTTAGCTCACATTATTTATAAGCCCTAAAAGCATATTGAAAAGGGAGGGAGACCCAACCATGGAGACACTGTAAAAGCCAACAGGCTGGTAGTCTCAGTAACGGGATAAATGAATAATTATACATATTAAAGGCAAAACTGTTTTTGTGACAAGTGGCTTTGCACTTAAATCAATAGTAAATGTTGAATAAAATATTAACATAAAATATTTTAGTATTAATGGTCTTTATTGTTTGATTCTTTCACAATGACAAACTCACCTATTATTTGTGAAATTTAAAAAGAAATGGAAAAAACAACAGTATTACATCAAGTCCAGACACAATGCTGGAAAATTACAATGGTCAAAAAGTACAGCATTCTAGAAAAGGAGACCAGCTGAGTTTTAGCCCTGGCACACTCATGAATTAGTTGGTGACCTCTTATTCTCTGACTCATTCAGCACTGTCCCAGACACATTAGGTGATGGGAATAAAAGAAGAGCCCACTCCTGAGCTCAAGAACTCATATTCTAGTTTAGTGGTTTGTTTTTAGGATTATTTATTTATTTTATATGAGAGACAGAAAGAGAGGGAGAGAGAGCGGCAAGTATTCCCGACAGGGTCTTACCACACCATGACCCCTCTCAGCCTTCCAGTTGACCAAGATCCAGTTGACGAATCTGGAGTGTTCAGTTCAATCCAGTCCCCAAATCTGGTGCCTTTCCATAGGCTCCAGTACTACACAGAAGTGCTCTGCCACCTGCACCACTGTGGCAGGACAGTTGTTGTGATTTTTATAAAGGGGAGGGGGGCACGAAGCCAGCAGGGGGCTTGGTGGTTAAGGCACTGGACTCCCACATGGCTGACTGCAGTTCAAGTCCTGAACCCAGCAGCTTGCTTTTTCACTCTCTCTCACATGTGCCCTGTAGCAAATTAAGAAATAATAATGATAAATAAAATTAATTAAATAATTACTTTTTAAAGTGGGGGAGGGGCAAAGGATGGAAAGGATGATGGGAGTATTTTTTTCAAACCACTAATTTCAGCGTGAGTTACTGTTACTGATGACTTTCGTGTCCTACTCTTCTAGTGGGCTTGAGCAGAGAAGGCTTGAGAACCACTGGTCTGCTTACTGAGACAGAAGCACAGAGTGTTCTCGAATATCACATGCTCAATGCTGTAATTATAATACTGCAATGTGGGCACAGAGCCTCCCAGGAAAGAGAGGAGCTAATGACTGTGGAAAGCCAAGAAGCATTGCCATTATGATAATGGTTGCTTGTTCCCCAGGGACTTTTTCATTTCCCCTTTGCACCAGAGAGCTATCACGAAAGGGGAACAGATGTGAGGGGCCTCTCAGGAGTTCAAAAAGGAGTCCATTTGAGAATTCAGCTAGTACCATCTAGGCATAAATATGTCCCTCGTTATTTGTGATGGGTCAACGTGCAGTTGAAGAGCTTGACTTCACTCAAAACTCCACCCAAGGAACCTGTGTTTAATCTTAGAGACTTGGATCTGGAAAATCTTCATTGTCATTTAGTTCTAGAAACCTACTCAAGTATTGAATTGTCCACAGAGGAAGACTCTAAGGACAGAAAGCAATGAAAAACATTGATGGTTAGAAAGACAGAAGTTGAGGGGCTGGATGGTGGTACAGCACTGCAATCACACATGCCCTAAGCAGAAATCACTCTTGAAAAAAAAAAAAAAAAAAAAAGGTGACATGCTATTTCCATTTTTGTGCTTTGTAGAGTTCTATAATGCCTTTTCTCCTTATTCCTGGCAAATCAACTCATCTTTCCAGACTCATTTCAAGTAACCTTCTCTAAGGAGCCTTCCCTAAATTCCC